TACATACGCTTCAGATTACATACGCTTCAGGTTACAGACTCCGATAACCCAGAAATAGTGCTTCAGGTTAAGAACTTTGCTTCAGGATAAGAACAGAAATCGTGCTCCGGCAGTGCAGCGGCAGCAGAAGGCCCCATTAGTTAAAGTGGTGCTTCAGGTTAAGAACAGTTTCAGGTTAAGAACGGACCTCTGGAACGAATTAAGTACTTAACCCAAGGTACCACTGTATGTATGTAAGCATGCATGCAATGAAAGGGTTATCCCCATTTGCATGCTCATAACCCCAACATTTACCAGCTGAAGGAACAGAAAGGTTTGTATCAGGTGCGACTACAACAATGGATCCCCCCCCCCATTTCCGGCACAACCCGCCATTGGTGCGGAAAGGAAAATGCCATTCTCACTTTCTAATACCAGCAACGTGCAAACAAAGTGCAGGCAATCAGGTACAAATTCACTCTTTGAAACATCAAACAGCAACTATGCAGCTGTAAATGCAAAGTGCGAAACGGCCCCAAGAGCTGGAATGGTGGGGAGATCATTTGCCTGTCGTAGGTTTATCTTTATCCGCTACTGAATGCTACTCATACGACTGTTTCTGTTGTTTGTTTGTTTGGTTGGTTGGTTGGTTGGTTGCTACTTATGAATTTATTCATCTGAGGTATTCTGGAGCAATCTGCAATGTAATAAAACAAATATAAAACAGTTATATATATTAAAACAGTTAAAATAATTGCATTTTAAAAACCCCAGTTTCACACACACACACACACACACACACACACACACACACTTTAAAACAACAGCTCATGCTTAAAAATCAATCCAAATACAATACATACCAACTGGAATGAAGATCTCCACTTGGAAGACTTGTTGAAAAGGAAGGTCTTTAGCGGGCACCAAAAATACTGAAGAGAAAGTGTCTGTCTGCTACCTTATGCGAGGGCGTTCCAAAGGAGAGGTGCGCCGCACCAAAGGTCAGATTCCAAAATAATGCAGAATGGACCTCAGAATGACCTCTCCTGCAGAACGCAATTATTGGTTGCTTATATAAGCTGTGAGAGTGTAGGAGAATAGTTTGCAAACCTGCTAGCATAATGCAAGGTGGAGAGAATGCAAATTTCTTTACCTTTCTCACTCTGCACTGCAAAAAAGGACAGAGTCTAGATTTCCCAGCTCTTCCTAACTTGACATTTTGCAGAAGGAGTAGACATTTTATATTTCTGAGTCCTCAAAATTTCCCCATGCATTTGCCTTTGTTTCCGGAAAGTGGCTAAACTCATGTTTATAGCTGCTTTAATCTCGACTGAAGTTTGTCTTTAATAGTAACAGATGATTAGCAGTATGAATGACCTATTTATTTGTTGGTCTGTACACAGCTTGTGAGTCATGCTTGCACGTCATATATACAAATGCCCGACTTGATTAGATCAGACCTGTACTGTAAATATTCCTTCCTAGCAAACGCCAATGTGAGGTAGCAGTGACTATTTATTTCCTGAAACTTGCTTTTCTAGTAAAACAGAATCAGTGGGATCCAGATGTTACTATCATAAATTACAGATGTGAAAGATGTCAGATGTTTTCTTTTCTCTAAGCCACTTTTCCAGTTAAAGAGATTTCCCTCCCTTCCTTCACCTGAGTCCATTATCGTATGTGTCAATCATGCTCATTTTGAGAGGATGTGGTGAATGAGATCAACCGCAGTACCACCAATACAAAAGAATTTATCAAACTATCAAGTTTCAAACTATCCGCACTATTTGTGTGAGAGAGATATACATCACAACAATTTGGTTTTGTCCAGTAAACTATCTATTTCCTGGATGGAAGAGGGAATTTCTCACATATTTTGTAAAGTTTCTCAGAATGTGGAAATATTTTTACTGGAAATGCAAGATGGTGGGGTGTGGGTGGGTGGGTGTGGAACATCAGCTTCCCTACTTTCAGAACTAATGTAAAACCTTTCTTCTTTATTTAGCTGTCAGGCAATAATCCATTCAAACATATCCCTGAGCCAACTGAAGGCAGCCCTGTATAGGGAAGTTTTTAGAAGTTTAATGTTTTATTATGCTTTTATATATGTTGGAAGCCACCCAGTGTGGCTGGGGCAACCTAGTCAGATGGGCAGGGTATAAATAGTGAAATTATAATTATAATTATAATTATAAATTATTATTATTATTAAATAGAATTTCCCTATTTTCATCAGTATGCCTGTGTGGAAAGAACTCTTGTACTTTAGGAACAAAGCTGTAGTCATGACGAAGCACTTTTTGCAATATCCCCATTTGGGTTGGAATTGCAGAAGATGTAGTGGATTCTTTATAAATAACATGCATTGCTAGCTAATACACGGTTCATTATTACTCATCCCACAGCAGCTATGAATAACAAATGTGCCTCATTAAAGTGGGACTTTATTAGGCCGCTATGTGTCATCAGCCCAAACGAGAGGCTTCAAGGGAGACTAGTGACTCAGAAGACAGATCCAAGGACGCCTCTTGAATTCAAGTGGAAATACTGTTACTATGTCGGGAGGTGTCAGGAAGTTTCCCACGACATTTCCTTATTTTCAGGTGATAAAACGTGCACTCAACAATAGGAGCGTCACGTCTTTGTTTATGGCAGAGTCCTCTGTATGGCCAGATTCCCATAAATGAATGAGCGTCAGAATAGACAAGAAACATTTCCATTCTGCACACCCATCTCAGGACCAGAATTCCAGGTATTACCATATATGTCCTTGCACAAATTCTAGCATTTACTGGATAAATGGGACCTGGGTGCCAACTCTACAGAGAGAAAACTGAGCAGGAAGTGAAATATATATTATAGCCGTGCATAAAGCAACAGAAACCTATATGGAACTTTCCAACAAGAATATTATTATTTTTTCTGTGGTATATGGAGAACAAAGAGGTTGAGGTAAAAGTGGTCACATGCAATCTGAAGGCATAGGCATTACAGTGAACATGGCAATATAACTATACAAGCGTTACACTGAGGACTATAGCACTGAAGGAATCAGGAAGTAAAGAGAACCAAAGAGAAGCGTGTATATGTTATAAAAGACAAAATTGGAGTTATTACTGCTAGCCGTCATAGATATTAAGAGCAGGACCATCAAACCATTAAAGAATTTTCAGTTAAATAGATTTGCACATTATCAAATCATTACCATAGCATCTGGGGAAGATGTGACTGATGTCTTTTGGAGGTATTTAAATGGAAGCTGTATACAGTGGTACCTTGGTTCCCGAATGCCTCCATTGTCAAATATTTTGGTTCTCGGATGCTGAAAACCCGGAAGTAAATGCTTCTGTTTTTGAACATTTTTCAAAACCCAAACGTGCAACTCAGCTTCAGCTGAGTGCAAGAAGCTCTTGTAACCAATGGGAAGCCTTGCCTCAATTTTCGAACATTTCAGAAGGCGAATGGGCTTCGGGAACGGATTCCGTTCGAGAACAGAGGTACCACTGTACCTATATGCAGGGCTACATTTCTAGACAAAGAGGTGCCAGAATTCATGATGAACACCTCCCTTGTTCTCTTACAATGGCAATGGCGCCCACCTGAGAGGTGCCAGAACTGAGTTCTAGTGAGTTCCAGCTGAAATGAAGCCCTGTGTCAGGGATGCTGTCATTGTAAGACCCCTGCACTGCAGATCCTGAATAGAGGGCAGGTGGAATGAACTAGGAGAACTCCAAGGTCCCTTTCCAACTCTACAGCTGCATGCACACTGTATCTTTAAAGCACATTTCCTCCTCCAAGAACCCTGGGCACAGTAGTGTACCCCTCAAACAGATACAGTTCCCTGTAACTCTGAACAAACTGCAATGCCGCGACTTCTTGGAAGGGAAGAATGTGCTCTGAATGTGTAGCGCGTACACAGCAACTCTACAATTCTGCTGTGTCAGTGGGTAAAGGAAAGCTTCACGCTTTTCCAAAAAACTGTCAAGCCTTTGTGAGACCCAAGCTCGGTGGAAGCTCGGCTTCATTTCATAGCATCATTCACAGAAGAGAAATCAGATCCGTCGCAATCTGCCGAGGACTCGAGGCTTCCAAAATGGCCCTGAGCCAGCTGGGGCATCCTCTCAGCCATGCCGCCCGAGCGCTCCTGTCCTCAGGATGCCTTTTGGCTCAGACTCCAGCAGGAGGAAGAAACGGGCATGCTGCTACACACCCCCGGGAGCTGCCTCGGTTGAAACCAGAACCAGTGTAAACATTCTGGCCAACGCAAGTTTGCTCGGAATGCATCGCAGCGCCTGATGGGTTTCCACCCTGCGCGTTCCCACTTGCCCCCTTCAAACTCTTTGTGCGGCTCCCCTTCTTGCTGCTCCCTGCATTATCTGTGCCGGGTCTCTGCCTCGCTGCACTCGCTCCTCTGCAAAGCCCTGCACTTCAGCAGCGTATGCGGCAGGCTCCCTTTCGATTGTGTTTATTTTGGCTCAGCTGAGATGCTGGTGACACTGGAGCAAAGTTCAGGGCATCTCCAGAAACTCGATTTCTGTAGCTGTTTGTGTTAAAATAACAATGGCGATTCCCGCTCAGCATGCCACCCTCCACCCTCTGAACCCTTCTTAAAAGGGCAGAGGAGGAGGGGGAGCTGCTTCCTCTGACCTCTGACTTCTGACCTCTTGGTTCTGAAGTCGTGGCATTCCCATGCTGCCCGCTTGATTACAGTAAGCATGCAATATCTGGAGGCCTCTTTATTGCTTTGAAACAGGAAAGAAAATTATCACGGAACTGGATACCATTCTGTCTTTCACCCCTCCTCTCCTAGAGCTACGGAAATATTCCTGAGATCATGAGTCTCCGACACTATGAATAGCTCGAAGGTAGAGGAGATAAGCTAGACAAAGACTTCTGTTCCTTATCTTGGGAGTATCTCGGGGCTTTCCAGGTGAGGGTTTTATTGTTTGTCTTGATTGAACCAGGCATCTTTCCCTGAGCCCACACATTGGATGCGGGAATGGGCAGTAATTTGACGCAGGGGAGGGATGTGGCTCAGCGGTACACAACATGCTTTTCATGAAGGAGGGCCTGAGTTCAAGCCCCAGCATCTCCAGGTTGAGAAAGATGGCGGCAAGGCTGGGGCCCTGGAAGGAAGAAACCCTGGAGAGCTGCTGCAAGACCAGGGTGGGGAATCCTTCTCAGCTTAAGGGTTGTATTCCCTTATTGGCAACTTACCAGGACCAGAGCACAAGAGCACTCTGCCCGCCTGCATTTTCCAGCAACTGGCATTCAGAAACATTACTGCCTCCAGCTGTGATGGCAGAGCAAAGCCGTCATGCTGTTGAAGGCAAAAGGCTCTTGATTATGATACATTTTTGCAAACTTCACTGGTGTTAAGGACAATCTATACATCATTTTCATCAATTTTTCTCTTAATACACTACATGCTGTAAATATAATTTCTTTTTTCCACAATTTCTCTCAGTCCACCATCATAATATTGTGCCCCACATCCCTAGCCCATTCAATCATTACAGATTTCACTTGTTCATCTTTTGTATCCCATTCCAGCAATAAATTATACATCTTGGATAAGTTTTTCATTTTTGTACAGTGGTGCCTCGCAAGACGAAATTAATTCGTTCCGCAAGTTTTTTCTTCTTGCGAGTTTTTCGTCTTGCGATGCACGGTTTCCCATAGGAATGCATTGAAAATCACTCAATGCGTTCCTAGGGAAACCGACTTCAGACCAGGTCCGGGACAGTCTGTCCCCCGACCTCTTCTGAAGGCTGGGGGACAAGGGCTTTTCTTCCCACCCCCAGCATTTTAAAACCCCGGGACAGCGGAGAGCTTCTCCGCTGTCCGGGGCGATCTTAAAATGCTGGCGGGCGGCATTTAAAATTGCCCCGGGACAGCGGAGGACTTCTCCGCTGTCCGGGGCAATTTAAAGTCCCTGGGAAGGCAGGCAGGGGGACAAAGACTTTGCCCCCGCCAGCCTTCAGAAGAGGTCCTGGACCTCTTCTGAAGGCTGGCGGGGGCGAAAGTCTTTGTCCCCCCCACCTGCCTTCAAAAGCTGTCCAGCCAAGGCTTCGCGGACCTCTCCGCAAGCAGCGGCAGCACTGCCGCTGCTTGCGGAGAGCTGCCGGCATGCCGGAGCCTGCGCGCGCTGAGATCAGCGCGCCCAGGCTTCGCGGACCTCTCCGCGAGCAGCGGCAGCGCCTGCCGCTGCTCGCGGAGAGCTGCCGGCATGCCGAGCCTGCGCGCGCTGAGATCAGCGCGCCCAGGCTTCGCGGACCTCTCCGCGAGCAGCGGCAGCGCTGCCGCTGCTCGCGGAGAGCTGCCGGCATGCCGGGCCTGCGCGCGCTGAGATCAGCGCGCCCAGGCTTCGCGGACCTCTCCGCGAGCAGCGGCAGCGCTGCCGCTGCTCGCGGAGAGTTGCCGGCATGCCGAGCCTGGGCGCGCTGAGATCAGCGCGCCCAGGCTTCGCGGACCTCTCCGCGAGCAGCGGCAGCGCTGCCGCTGCTCGCGGAGAGCTGCCGGCATGCCGGAGCCTGCGCGCGCTGAGATCAGCGCGCCCAGGCTTCGCGGACCTCTCCGCGAGCAGCGGCAGCGCTGCCGCTGCTCGCGGAGAGTTGCCGGCATGCCGGAGCCTGCGCGCGCTGAGATCAGCGCGCCCAGGCTTCGCGGACCTCTCCGCGAGCAGCGGCAGCGCCGCTGCCTCGCGGAGAGTTGCCGGCATGCCGAGGCCTGCGCGCGCTGAGATCAGCGCGCCCAGGCTTCGCGGACCTCTCCGCGAGCAGCGGCAGCGCTGCCGCTGCTCGCGGAGAGTTGCCGGCATGCCGAGCCTGGGCGCGCTGAGATCAGCGCGCCCAGGCTTCGCGGACCTCTCCGCGAGCAGCGGCAGCGCTGCCGCTGCTCGCGGAGAGTTGCCGGCAGCCCGAAGCCGGGGCGCGCTGATATCCGCGCGCCCAGGCTTCGCGGACCTCTCCGCGAGCAGCGGCAGCGCCGACGCTGCTCGCGGAGAGCTGCCGGGCATGCCGGAGCCTGCGCGCGCTGAGATCAGCGCGCCCAGGCTTCGCGGACCTCTCCGCGAGCAGCGGCAGCGCTGCCGCTGCTCGCGGAGAGCTGCCGGCATGCCGAGCCTGGGCGCGCTGAGATCAGCGCGCCCAGGCTTCGCGGACCTCTCCGCGAGCAGCGGCAGCGCTGCCGCTGCTCGCGGAGAGCTGCCGGCATGCCGGAGCCTGCGCGCGCTGAGATCAGCGCGCCCAGGCTCGCGGACCTCTCCGCGAGCAGCGGCAGCGCTGCCGCTGCTCGCGGAGAGCTGCCGGCATGCCGGAGCCTGCGCGCGCTGAGATCAGCGCGCCCAGGCTTCGCGGATCGGAGATTTCCCTATGGGCTTTCGTCTTGCGAAGCTAAGCCCATAGGGAAATTGCTTTGCGAAGCGCCTCCAAAACGGAAAACCCTTTCGTCTAGCGGGTTTTTCGTCTTGCGAGGCGTTCGTCTTGCGGGGCACCACTGTATCTAATAATTCCATATCCAGTTTGGATTTCTCTGTTTGAAAACCAATTTTCTTATCCATTTTAAACACTTCATTTATCTGGATGTCCTGGAACCAATCATCTAATTTATCTTCCAACTGATCATAAGATTTTAATCTAAATTGGTCCCCTACTTCCATCTAAATATCATTATACTTCAACCACGTGGCTTTCATATTCAACCTTTATGAGTCTTAGCTTCCAGTGGTGATATCCACCTGGGTGTTTTCCAGGCTCTTGAAGATCAAAGTGTTATGTGAAATGTGGTCATACAATTGATGTCGAAGCATATTACCTTTTGCCAGTGATGTCACTGGTTATGTGAAACACCTTGCATCTACCGTTTTCTGCATTGTTTCAGAAATCGTTCTTTTTCCTAATGCAAAGTGCCCGTGAGTGGGCAGAGGCAAGGGCTGTTCATTGCACTGACCTCTAGAAGGGTGTGCATTCTAGCAATGTGTCTCTGTGAAGAAAGAGATATCCCCTTCCCACTTGACCCTTTCCCTGCCAGACTCTTTGCTGCTCCAGATCAAACCTTGCCAAAGCAATGCTTGAGTGCAACTCAGTTGGCCCCACCCAGACTGGGATTTTATGAGGGACTCTCTACTCTTTGAAAAAACTGGAGGTTCGCAGTGCAGGAATCTGGACATCCACCAGTTGTGAATGACCTCGGTCTTTGGGTGCTCGGCAAGTTATCACACAGGCCATCCTCGAGTGGGCAAGTTTTGGAAGCCATTGCTCTGAAACTGAATGTCAGGAGCTGCTTTAGGATTTGTGTGCAGCAGGTCCCTTCCCACAAACACCTGAAAATACAAATAGCTCAAAAGAATGTTAGCTATGAACCAGGCGTGGATTGACATGTACTGGCTTTAAACCACAAAGGAAAAGATCTGGGTCTTTCCAAGTGAGTGTGCTAAAAGTGGGGCATTCCAGTTGCAAGTAGATTAATAACCTCTTCCCATGCAATTGATGTGTGTGTTTCTCTATATACAAACCCCAGAGTGGCCTTGTGTCCTCCTTTATCAAGGACTAGCCTCTATTGGATGGGCTGCCTCGTCCAAGTTTTGTGTAAAGGAAGGGAGATCAGAGGCCTTGAAGACAGGCATCAACAGTTAGCACCTGGTCAGTTACATGAATCACCTGATCACAGTCTCCCCTACTAATGATGATGATGATGTACTAATTTGCATAAAATCTCAGTGGGCTAAATTCTAGGAGGAATTCAAAATCACGTTCTTCCAATCATTCCATTGGCATTCCTCTCATCCCACCTCATGCTCTCCTGGGGGTTCTTCCAACCTCTATTTACAGAGACCATTCTGGGATGTGCAATGGATCCCCTTGTGCAAGCATATGTCCTTGCCTGGGCTTCTGCTGATATGACTCATTAGTTCAGTCCTGCCCAGATTTAGAAATGAAAACATCTACATACATATAAAGACAAACTCCAAGGGCCTTCTGGCAGTTCCCTCACTGCAAGAAGCGAAGTTCAGGGAACCAGGCAGAGGGCCTTCTTGGTAGTGGCACCTGCCCTGTGAAATGCTCTCCCATCAGATGGGAAATAAACTGTATGACTTTTAAAAGACATCGGAAGTTTTTAATGTTTGATGTTTTATTGTACTTTTAATATTTTGTTGGAAGCTGCTCAGAGTAGCTGGGAGAACCCAGCCAGATGGGCGGGGATATAAATATGTTGTTGTTGTTGTTGTTGTTATCCTAAAAACATGTGCATGCAAATTTTATGCAAATTGGTGTCTTCTTTCTTTTGTGTTGCATTTTCTCTTATTTTGTTTTCTGCTTTGCCAATGCATAAAATGGCTACTCAGCACCTCTCAAGTATTTTAAACATCCATACATTAGTGAGGTGCTGGTGTTGAATAGAGCAACAGAGAAGTGGCATGTTCTGTTTAGTGCCATTTTCTAATGGAAAAGCCCGGCTCATCCATATTTTCTCCCTGCAGCGCGAGATACGCATAAGGAAGCTTGGATAGCTAAAGAAGCTAAATTCTGAAGCCGTCAGAACATGCTGCAACAGAGTGCCAAACAGAACTGCCACCGTGAACGAGCAAAGTGTCAGGTTGCCTTGTGAGCGTGGGCTTACTTCCCACATCCCTCACCATTGTCTTCCTTGGTGAATTGTTTGCTTTGTCTTTGGCCTTAATGTGCCGTGGCATGTTCCAGCTGAAGAAAGCAAGAGCAAGAGCGTGTAGCGGAGACTGACAGGGCTCTGGCAAGTGTGTGACTGAGGCAGGGGGCTGGAGACAGACCCAGGAGAGGGGGCCAGCAATTGATGGGTGCCACTTGCAAGGGAAGGGGAAGGGTCCAAGCAGACAGAGACAGAGGTGGGGGCGCAGGACTGGTTGGAAAGTGGAGGAAGAGGCTGTTCAGGTGAGGAGCAGGCTGGTCAAATCCCTGCTGTCCCCTGCCCCACTGTCTCCTAGAAGCAGGAGGGGCTTGAATAGGGAAGCACAGCGATGACTTCCATGCAGGAGAAGTCTCAGGTTGTGTGCAGGTACTCTGTCAGACATGGGTCCATAAGCCCGGGGGGTGGCATGGTCTCTCTGTTACTTCCACTGCTCTGCTGGGCATGAACCTGGAAGAAGCTGCATAGGCGTTAGAGAGTGTGCATATCCAGTGCACCATAGAGGTTTCTGTAAGTGCCTGCTTTTGCCAGTAAAGAATTAACTATCTGCCGTTTGCCTTCCTTGGCTGGGTGTACAACATGGCAGGTTCACCAGGATTTGGAGATCAGGAGTCTGTGGCTTTCAGCCACAAAATACACAATAACCAATTCCTGGAATTGGCCAGGAACCAAACAAACAGCGTCTGCTGGAGAAAAGCTCAGAAAGAGAAACAATTTCTCTCTCTCCTCTCCTTTCTCGTCATGGTAAGATTAAGGTAGGGGAACCAAATAGTCTCAGTGGACATAATAGCAGAAGGCTAGAGCAGGCTTCCTCAGCCTTGGCCCTCCAGATGTTTTTGACCTACAACTTCCATGATCCCTAGCTAGCAGGACCAGTGGTCAGGGATGATGGGAATTGTAGTCTCAAAACATCTGGAGGGCCGAGGTTGAGGAAGCCTGGGCTAGAGGGTGCCCATTTGATGCCTGTGGCACATCCATAGGAAGACATTCTTAATAATAATAATAATAATAATAATAATAATAATAATTTATTATTTGTACCCCGCCCATCTGGCTGGGTTTCCCCAGCCACTCTGGGCAGCTTCCAACAAAGATGAAAAATACACTAAAATGTCACATATTAAAAACTTCCCTGAACAGGGCTGCCTTCAGATGTCTTCTGAATGTCAGGTAGTTGTTTATCGCTTTGACATCTGATGGGAGGGTGTTCCACAGGGCGGGCGCCACTACCGAGAAGGCCTCTGCCTGGTTCCCTGTAACCTGCTTCTCGCAGTGAGGGAACCGCCAGAAGGCCGTCGGAGCTGGACCTCAGTGTCCGGGCAGAACGATGGGGGAGGAGACGCTCCTTCAGATATACTGGACCGAGGCCGTTTAGGGCTTTAAAGGTCAGCACCAACACTTTGAATTGTGCTCGGAAACGTACTGGGAGCCAATGTAGGTCTTTCAAGACCGGTGTTATATGGTCTCGGTGGCCGCTCCCAGTCACCAGTCTAGCTGCCGCGTTCTGGATTAGTTGTAGTTTCCAGGTCACCTTCAAAGGTAGCCCCACGTAGAGCGCATTGCAGTAGTCCAAGCGGGAGATAACCAGAGCATGCACCACTCTGGCGAGACAGTGTGCAGGCAGATAGGGTCTCAGCCTACGTACCAGATGGAGCTGGTAAACAGCTGCCCTGGATACAGATTTGACCTGTGCCTCCATGGACAGCTGTGAGTCCAAAATGACTCCCAGGCTGCAGCACCTGGTCCTTCAGGGGCACAGTTACCCCATTCAGGACCAGGGAATCCTCCACACCTGCCCGCCTCCTGTCCCCCAAAAACAGTACTTCTGTCTTGTCAGGATTCAACCTCAATCTGTTAGCCGCCATCCATCCTCCAACCGCCTCCAGACACTCACACAGGACCTTCACCGCCTTCACTGGTTCTGATTTAAAAGAGAGGTAGAGCTGGGTATCATCCGCATACTGATGAACACCCAGCCCACACCTCCTGATGATCTCTCCCAGTGGCTGCATGTAAATGTTGAAAAGCATGGGGGAGAGGACAGAACCCTGAGGCACCCCACAAGTGAGAGCCCAGGGGTCTGAACACTCATCCCCCACCACCACTTTCTGAACACGGCCCAGGAGGAAGGTGCGGAACCACTGTATGACAGTGCCCCCAGCTCCCAGCCCCTCAAGACGGTACAGAAGGATGTTATGGTCGATGGTATCAAACGCCGCTGAGAGATCCAGCAGAACTAGGAAACAGCTCTCACCTTTGTCCCTAGCCCGCCGGAGATCATCACTCAGTGCGACCAAGGCAGTTTCAGTCCCATGATGAGGCCTGAATCCCGACTGGAAGGGATCCAAATGGTCCGCTTCTTCCAGGCGTGCCTGGAGTTGTTCAGCAACCACTCGCTCAATCACCTTGCCCAA